TGCCACCTCGCTGCCTGTTCCAGTGAAGTCTTCAGTTACTACAAATGGTGTGAGCTTACATCTCTAAGTGCTCTGTGCTAGGCATTGTGGGAGAGAAAACACTTGCCCCTATAGAATTTACAGTCTAGTAGGAAAATAAGACACAAACATAGGTAACAAAATCACAAAATAGGAAATAGGATCATAGATCAAGAACTGAAAGGAATCTCAGGGGTCATCTCATCCAACCCACTCATTTTGCGGTTGAGGAAACTGAGGCTAAGAGAGTTTAAGTGATTTGTACTAGGTCACAAATATAGTAAGCATTAGAGGCAGAATTTGAACTCAAGTTCTCTGACTTCTGAACCAGTACTATCACTACTCTATCAACTGCCTCCCTAATAAAAACACATTTTTATGTTTGTTTGTTTGTTTGTTTGTTTAAGAATAGGAAAGTATTTGCTGGATGAAGTGAGAGACAGAAGATGCAAATAAAAGAGAAGACTTCTAGAGCAAGATCTTGAAATGGGATAAAGGGTATAGGAAGAGGGATTCGGGTTAATGGGGAGTAAAAGTAATTCCTTTATTGTAGCAAAAGTAAAAGAAGACATAGTCCTCAGTGAAGTAGTGCACTACTAAAAATCATTTGCCACCCTGTGAAGGAGCTGGGGTTTGCTTAGGAGGCTGAGTCACACAACAGCCTTGCACGTAGTCTGGGCAGGTATTATTGTTCCCATTTCACAGATGAGCAAACTGAGGCACAGGAAGGAGATATGATTGCTCAATGTCCCAGAACATTAGTCACTGAAAGGATAAGAACCTAGTTCTTCTGACTCCTAGCCCATCATCTCCAAGGTTATTTAGATTTGTCAGTAGTTGCTACTACTATGTGCAATATGCATATAAGCTGAAAGAGTTAAGCCCTTCCCTAAGGCCTCATTGTGGAACAGAAGGGACCCTGGCCTCTCAAAGACTCTTATTATTGGAATGAAAGCTCTAGTTCATACTACCAAGCTTGAAAGTGCCATCTCAGAGACTAAAAATGTGTCCACTAGGACAGCAGAGTCTGTCTGAATTCAGAGAGGTTTATCATCAGACTAGATGCAGGGTGGCGAGTTTTTCAGCCATAACAACTCTAAGACCATTGAGAGCTTGTAATCTGCATTGGGAACGTGAGTTCCCAGACTGACAACATCACTGCTCCAATCACAGTGCTAAGCAAGTAAAATATTTGCATGTTTCTCTAATTCTCTTACTTAATGTAAAGGGGGGAAGTTATTTGTAAAGTTGTTTTTTTTTCCCTTCAAATTGCGATTTCATGTGGGAGTGAGCAGCCATTCATTCACTCAAATTGCTAAAGCCATAACATTGCTTATCATGCATTTATCCAAACCAACTGTTAGTCAAAGGTGATGGAAGTTAGTGCTTCCCACTTGTGATGCACAAACCCAAGTTCTCAGGATTGATTTACAAGTGAAAGGGACCTCAGAAATCAGAGAGCATTCAGCCCAACCCCTACATTTTTCAGATGAGGAAAAGGTCTAGGGGAGTAAATTGAGCTGGATAATGTCAAACAATAAGTACAGCTGGCTAAGAGTCAAACCCAGGTCCTTTGACTCCAGATGTGATGTTTCCATTGTACCATGTTGCCTGGTTTCTGTTTCAATTGTTTACTTCTATTCAACTCACCTAATCTACATGACTTATCATACAAGCCTTGATGGCTTATCAAAGACTTTTATTTAACAGAATCATAGAGATGGAAGGAACCTTAAGGAAAAGCTAACTTCTTCACAGAAGAAGAAATTGAGACCTAGAGAAAAGAAATGACTCACCCAAGGTTACACTTGTAGATGTAGGCAAGGTTGAACCCAAGTTCCAAATCCAGTATTCTTTCGTTTATAACAATGGTTCCCAATGTTTTTTTGTTTCTTAAATCCTTTTCAACAACAACAACAAAAAGATATGTTGTGATCTCCCAGGGTAATTTAATGTAGTACTCATCATATTCTGTAATTATTTACTATTTAATGTACCATTAGAGAATTTTTACCATGAACCATTTGGACCATTTTCTCAAACTCTCAAAGGTTTCCTAAACCACTCAATGGAATCACTGCTCTATGCCTAACTGGCTCATTATCCATCTACTCACTCAACTTTCTAAATTATGATATCTGTAATAGCATTTGTTTGAACCAACTTCTAGGAAAAAGTTTTAAAAAATTGTACATTTGCTAAAACATCTCAATTATGAAATATGACCCTTTTGCCTTCTTGTCCCTTCATTATGTTCCAGTTTTTAACTTTGTATTGAGTATGCAATAGTCTTTCATATCTTAGACTTTCATTAGATTGCTGGGCCTGGAAAGGACCTTAGAGATCATAGCCTCGTAGACATAGAAGGGGAAAAAATTCAGAGGTCATCTAGTTCAACTCCAGATTCTATAGATGAAGAAATTACGATCTGAGGAGGTTTAGTAACTGGCCTAAGCTTACACAGTTCTTAAGCACCAGAAGCAGGATTTGAACTCAGCTTCTCTCTCTGACTCCAGAGTTAATTCCCTCATTTTGCAGAATGGGCACTGAGGGTCAGAGACTTACCCAGAGCCACACAGAGAATCTGTGGCAGAGTCAAAACTAAAAGTAGCTTCTTCTGACTCTATACAATGCTGGTGGAGAATATTATGCATTCAATTCTTTAGTCTTCATTGGCTCTATTTGCTGTAATGCTGAAAGGCCCTGGGATAAGGCCCTGGGCTTCAGAAGGGTCTCTTAGAAGAAAAAACCTATCCTCTATGCTCTTGACAGCTCCTTCACACCCTCCTGCCAAAAAAAGTCATCCTGAGGGCTGAAAAGGCTTTCTATATAATCATACTAGTTCAAACCCTTTTCCCATGAGGTGGAAAGATAAGAATACATCACAAGGAGAGCCCTGATTTCTCCTCTCTATTGTGAAGATAACACTAATTTAAAAAAATATATTTTGCTATAGATTGGCTATTAAGAATTTAGGATAACATATTAATAAGAAGACTGATAGAATAGGCTTTATGCTGAATGAAGTTGAAGAATTATCTGGGACCTACTGAGAACACCAAAAAAGAAAAGGGAAGAATATGGCTTTTAGAAGAGGTACAACTGGCTCAGCCCCAGGACGGTACTGAGCACCAGTGGAATCCCCAAAACCTTCAAGTAGGATATGTATTAATCTGACTCATGGCTTTTCACTCCAAACCTATAAGAAAGACATTATGCAACTTCCGGGATGAAGTTAGGCTGCATGCCTGCCCAGCCTCCTAATAAGTATCCTTGGTGATTCTAAATGTGCCTGCAGAATGGACAGGCTTCCAAAGGGAGGCTTGTTTATGGTCTGTGTGTAGCAGATTAAATGGGAAAGATGAACAACAGATAGAGCCCTTGGAGTCTGGAAGACTTGAGTTCAAATGCTGCTTTGGACACTTACTTGCTATGTGACTCTGGGAAAGCCGCTTAAGCACTTTCTACCTCAGTTTCCTCGTCTGTAAAGGGAGAATAATAATGCCACCTACCTACTAGGGTTGTTATGAGGATCCAGTGAGATGTCTGTAAAGTGCTTTGCAAACCTTAAAGCACTATAGAAATATTAGTTACTACTACTACTTAAGGGGGGGGAAGCAGAGACATGGGTCAAATAAGTTCGGGATACCCTTCTGGTTCTAGGATGCTATGATCCTTTTTCAGTTAAGTTGCACACCTGTTGCTTGCTAGTTGACAAATGACAAAAGATTGAACAATGGCCAAGATATAATTCTAATCACTTCTAGAGTAGGAACTGCTATTTTTTAGAGGCAAAGAGATATAGTGGATAGAATGTTGGACTTGGGGTCAGTAAGAATTACCTAGGTTCTAATCCTTACTCTGACATTTACTCACTATGTGATCATTAGCTTGTTCCTTCCTCTGTCCAAGCCTTAATTTTCTCTTCTATAAAGTGGGGGTAAGAGTAGGAAGGGGAAGTAATAAAAGCAATAGCATCTATGTTACAGGTCTGTTTGTGAGCCTCATAATAAAAATGTGCAATAAGAAATATAATATAAATGTCAATTTTTACTAAGAGGGACTTTACCATTTAGTTGGAAACTTTTTTTTAAGGCCAAGAGTTAAACATCAGCAGGGACTTCTAAGTTGCTGGACTCCTGAGGAATTTTTACCTCTTCTTACAAAGAAATAGCAACCAGAATAGCATCCTGGCTCCTTTCATTTTAGATTAGAACAAGAAAAGGAATTATTTCTTTTATAACATTAATGACTTATGTAAGGAAACCTAATAACTGACATATTTCTGCCTATAACTAAAGGGTTGTTTTAACCATGAGATAAATCATGATAGAAAAAATAAATGCTTATTAATATATTGGAGTTTTTAAGAAAAAATTAGGTTTTCTGCATATGCTATTAAAGGGGGGAAAATGCCTCTTCCAGTTCTAAGATTCCATGATTCTATGTTTAAAGATCCGCTATAATTTATGTAAGAATAGTAACAGTTAGTGATTCAGCCTAAAAATTTCAGTGATTATGTTTAAGACTTTCAATGCAATTGAGGACAGAGAAACTTCCTGAGTACATGATGTAAGAACTTGCTTGGAACTGAGCTTGCCAGCTACTGAAAAGTCACCCCCCCCCCAAAGTACATTTTTAAAAGAGCCAATTGTCTAAAGAAGACTATTGCATTCAAAAGAATCCTCTTTTGTGTTCTTTTAAGAATCAAGTATGGAAGACAAAAATCAACTACACTTATAATAATTTATTATGGTTGCAGGTCACTTTCCACATACAATAAATTATAGAAACTATTGCATCTTTATAAAATATTTTGAGTGTAATTATCAAATGCTAGTATTAAAACGCAGTATCTATGAAACTTTAAAAATGGCAAAGTTTAGCATATGTTAAATTTTTCTTTTCAATCTGTAACAGACTTTCACAGTACTTCCATTCAATTATTTTAACTTTTGTGCAACCAGTATGAAACATATACGTATATTTAAAAAAAAGCACTTTATAGATCAAAAGAACAAGACAAAATTGCACAGCTCTGAAGAAGCCGTTTTAGGCAGTCCCTTGAGTTTCTATTCACACCCATGTGATGTGTACTTTTTAAGGCATTTTAATAAATGCAAATAAGTGATCAACTGTTGATCTTCTAAAGTCCATTCCAACAGACAGCATTGAGGCTTGGCAGTTTGTTTGTTTTTTAATTCAACAAAAAAAATCTGTAAACACATGTGGCATTCACTCTTCCCCCTGGCTCGTCGAAAAAATTTCAAACTGAAACTCAGTCCGCTGCCCCAGGGGGGGTCTGTCAGAGTGATATCGGATAGATACCTCTTCCTGCTGTCTCTGGCTGTCACTGGAATGTGTCCCAGCAGAATCTTCTTTTCCCCTGGACACCCGCAACAGTCCTTCCCCGCTGGGAGAGTTGCTCACGGCTGCCAGGGAGTGTTTCTGCCTCCTCTCCCTGCAAGTTTTCAGAGTGTGAAATGAGTTTGAGTCAATGACAGCCAGTTTGTTCTCAGGTTAGGAGGTCCTTACCCGAGGCTGCCAGGCAGCTGCAGGAGGCATGTTGTCAGGATGTCACAAATGCAGTTTCATTCTTTAAATGTTCTTGTTCTCTCAGCCATTGTCTCCTGCTTTACTTGTTCAGTGAACTTTGATCGAATATTTCCGGAGTTTCAGGAACTGAAGCAGTTTGTCTTTGGTCCTCTTTTTCAGGGCCATCAGAGCTCTGGTCTTCTCCTCCAGATCTTGGTCGATAGAGAAGATGATCTTGGCTCTCTCCTCGGCTTTCTTGTCCCCAGAGTTTTTGAACAGTCTCTGGAGGGATTCTTGGTCTATGTTTTCAAAGATGTTGCCCACGGCTTTCTTTCGGGCAGCGGTGTCAAAGTGGTATCCATGGACGGACGGACTCACTCTCAGCGACGTGGACATGGTGGAGGAGGAGGCTTGGTGTCTTTTCAGAGCTTTTGTCTACAGGGGTTCTTGCCAGATTAGGCTCTCCTAAAGAGGCTGGAGAAAACGCATCCCGGGGCCGCTATTTAAAGGCAGTGCAAAGACTCTGGGCTCAAATTACTCTGGTGACATCAGCGTGATCTAAAGGAATAATAATCAGAGACAGGTTTAACAGTTCAGCTGCCAACATCCTGTTCTTTTGCACAAGGGTTACTGAGAGCTCTTGTCTGGGATGTGGAGTGGCATTATCCACCGCCCACAACCCCTCTCAACTTGTGAAGAAAGGATTTTACAGAATAATGCGCCCTCACTTTAGAGAGATAGCTTAAGCCACAAGTGTAAAACTGGAGGTGCCAGGACCTTCAGAACATAGAGCAATTAGATAAACGTTGCAAGGCTCAGAACTCAGAATTCGGCTAATCCATGAAAAGGTTTTCCCCTCCAAGGGGTCTGAGTAGCCTTTAGCGGTGGTGCCCTTTGGACGTGCCTCTCCCCAGCACTTAGAGAGTTGCTGACAAAGTTTACAAAGCTGGGCCATTATTTCTAAGCAGAGATAGGAAGTTTATGTAAAACTGCACAACTTAGAAGCATGGTTCCACTCCCTTGAGTATTTCAGGTTATTTCAGAGATAGGTCCAGGTGCTGCTCTTCACCGCAGCATAATAGTTTACCTTTTCTGGCACTCTTAGAATTTACAAAGTGTTTTCTTGACTTCCACCCTCTGAAGCAGGTAAGGATGTGGGAACTGAGACACGGTGTGCTGAAGTGTTTTGCCCCGGTTCAGATAGATTACTAATAATAATTATATTTGCAAAGCTTTTTACAAATATTATTTTATCCTTATAAGAACCCTGGGAGGTTGGCAGTATTATTATCCCTATTTTACAGAAGAGGAAACTGAGGCAGACAAAGTTGACGCAATTTGCCCAGGGTCACAGAGGTAGTAAATGTCTGAGTCTGACTTTGAACTCAGATCTTCCTGACTCAAGGTCCAGTACCCTGTCTGTTTCACTACCTGACTGCAATCCTTGTCCTCTTTCCATTATATCACACTTTTTCTTCATGAATAATCATTAAAAATAACTGGCATTTCTAAAGTGCTATAAAGTTTTCAAAGTTTACATGTTCTCATCTGAGCCTCACAACAACCCTGTAAAGTAGATATTGTAGATATTATTATGTCTAATTTTATAGATAAGTAAATGGAGGCTCTGAGTTGTCCATTATCAGAGTGTTAGAGTGAGATTTAGACCCAAACTTTCTTGCTGTCAAGCTTAGAATACCTTTTGCCATACCATAAGAATAAACAGATAAACAAATAAAAAAAAAAAAAAATATATATATATATATATATGTACATACACATACACACAACTACTGAAAAAGTATGGAGGAGACATAGGAGTTCAGCCAGCTGCTTTATGGTTGATACCAAATAATCCTTCTGACAGATTTTTTTTTTCCTTTCCAAATGAGCAATGTCTTTGTCTCGATGCAGACACAGCCTCGTGGTGGTGCTCTCCTTTCAAACAGTCCTTGCTTATTCTCCACAATATCTAAGTACACAAACTAAACAGCACAGGATGTGTATAGGACCCCTCACCCGACCCCGACCCCGAGAAAATGCCTCAACTCTGAAGTTCCATCTTTAGTGGGTATCTGAAATCCTGAGATATTTTCCTTTCCAAGGCTACACAAAGAACTCCTATGTCCTTTGTGCCTAATGCATTCAATAAGGCCATGTGCAAGGAGTGGTTAATTTTAACTTTCTTCCCATCTGTCAGAGCATATTCAATAATGTGTGGCTGAGGGGTGATTGTAGTAGGGTGCAGGAGAAAGAATGCTTGACTTAGAATCAGGGGACCTGTGTTTGAAACCCCAAATCTCACATTTAACTACCAGTGTAACTTAGGAAAAATGACCTGACCTCCCTTGCCCTCAGTTTTCCCATCTGTAAAATGAAAAGAAGGGGCAGTTAGGAAGCCCAGTGGATAGAGCACTGGGCCTGGAATCAGGACGACTCATTTTCCTGAGTTCAAATTCAGCCTCAGGCCCTTGCTTGCTGATTTGACCCTGGGCAAGTCACTTAACTTCATTTGCCTCAGTTTTCTCATTTGTAAAATGAGCTGGAGAAGGAAATAGCAAACCTCTTCAGTATTTTTGCCAAGAAAACTCCAAATGGGGTCACAAAGAGTCAGACATGACTGAAAATGACTGAACAAAAACAAACAAACAAACAAACAAACAAAACAGAGAATGGTCTCAGTGAGCTATACTCTCTGACATCTCTAAATCTGTGACACTGAGGGCAAATTTCCTTCTAGATCTTCCTTCCCATTATCCTCACTCTAAATCTATTTCCTTGTTCACCTGGAATTCAAACCCCTCCCTCCTCCTCTTATTCTGCCAATGGCAATTCTTTAGGATTCTGCACAGCACCTTTTGGAAAATCTGTATTCCTGAGGCAAGTGCAGAGTACCGTCTCACTCCCCTTTGCTCTTCAATAGGCTTGTCAACCTGTCTCAATTCCAACTCCCAGATATCTTTTGCCTTTGTTTACTCTGCTCAATTCCCACTGCCCCCATCTGAGTACCTTCATCATCACCTGCCTGGACTGTAGCAATAGGTTCCTTAACTTAACCACCTTCACAGTTCCCCAACTCAATCCATCCTTCACACTGCTGCTGAAATAATTCCACGGACATGGATCTGGTCTTTTTCTCTTCTGCTGAAAAACATGCAGTGACTTTCTATTTCCAGACAAATAAGGTTCAAATTCCTCTGCTTGATGATCAAGGCCCCCTGTAATCTAGTACCACTTCACCTTTCCTATTTTCATCTCATGATTCTACTTTCCTGTACTCTGTGGTTCAGCTACTCTCTGTCCTGCCTCCTTCCCTCCCTCCCCAAAGTTGCACTCGTTTTCTCTAGACCCTGCCTTACCTATGCAATGCCCAGTAGGAAATGACCTCCCTCCCTCTCCTCATCAGCTGAATGTTGTGTACCTGTCCTTCAAAATCCAATCAAAATGTTAGCTCCTCCAAGATTCCTTTCCTGATATCAGAGCATTATTAGTCTAGAGCCAGGAAGAAAATTTAGAAGTTATCTAATCCACTCCCTCCATTTTACAGATGAGGAAACTGATCAAAGTTAGGTCGTCTTAATCTACATCCAGAATTCTTTTCACTACTGTACATTGCATGTCCCCACTTCACAATTAGTAAAGATCTTTCCCACAGTTCCTCACATGCAACATTATTTTAAGCCTTTTTAATGCATTCATTTTTGTATTATAGTTTATGTGTGCCTTATGCCTCCCCCCATATTATAAACACCTTCAGGGCCTTGTATACACTTTATTATTAATAAGAATAGACTTGTATAGTGCTCGCTTTGGCAGCATATTAGAACTAAATTAGAATGATACAGACAAGATTAGCGTGGCCCCTGCACAAGGATGACACACAGATTTGTGAAACATTTCATATTTTTTGAACTGATGTTGACTGAAATGAGCAGAACCAGGAGAACACTGTATACAGTAACAGCCACACTGTGTGATGACTAACTTTGATAGACTTACCTCTTCTTAGCAATGCAAGGATCTAAGACAACTCCGAAAGACTCATGATAGAAAATGCTATCCATGTTCAGAGAAAGAACTATGGAGTCTGAATGCAGTTGGAAGCATATTATTTGCGCTCTCTCTCTTTTTGTTTCTTCTTTCTCGTGTCTTCACCCATTGGCTCTAATTCTTCTTTACAACATGACTAATATGAAAATAGGTTTAATATGAATGTATATGTTGAGCCTATGTCAATTTACATGCCCACTTGGAGCAAGGAAAGGGGAACGATAGGGAGAAAATTTGGAACTCAAAATCTTATGAAAGTAAATGTTGAAAACAGAAAATAAATAAATTAATGTATTATTTAAAAAGAACTTAAAAAACAGAGAATAAACTTGCATATCACTTTATGTCATGTAAGCAATAAAAGAATCTAAGCTCCATTATGGCAAACCATCTAACCTAACAAATATTCCTATACTAAAATTGGGGGGAGGGGGATGTCACAGAATAATGGTTCTACTGTTGCATGTCCAATCATCCGCATAACCTCTTCAAAAGTAGTAAACAATGTTTTTGCACAAAGTCCTACAGCTTTCCTTGAAGACTGCCTAAGTCCATTTAGATGTATTTAATAGATAAAGGGGTTTTTAAACTCTTTGGAAGATAATACAATAAACAAGGTAACCATGCTGATTTTTGTCTTTCAGCTATGTAAAACTATCCTTCCTGCTCGGATTTGGCAGTGCCCCTTGCCAAGGGCAGATTCATACAGTCACATACGTCTTTCTATGCCACCCCCATCCCCCATTTTCTCCAGTTAGTATAAATATTTACAGTGAGTGATCTGGACAACAGTGCCTCATAAAAGAAATTGGAAAAGGCCTTACAGATCTTACGTGGACAGATACAGTGTGTTATACAGATGGAGGTTAGAATTTGGTAGTTTTCTGTGGTAAAGAAAGGAAACAAAGATAGGGTTTTAAAAAGGAAGTTTCCTAACCAATGTTCTATTTTCCCCTGGGAGACAGCTTGTCAGAACTCAGGCTTAGACAGAGTGGTCCCCTGGAGTTTTCCAACTGCTGGTTATTTCTTGCATTGGAGTAGTTTCATGGTGAATGATTGCCCAGGTATGAAATGAAGGACCAGTTTAATTGGCATCGTGGTCAGTATTTCTTTGGGGTGAGATCATTTGCAGAATCTGAAGCTGAGATAGTAGTTGTATCCCAAATTTTAACTTCATATATTGCCTATTCATGCTCCTCGAATGGCATTTTTGTTTGTTTATTACTTCTTATCTCGGCTCTATTTTCCACCCACCTCTAGTTCTGGGGACAATAATGAAATTAACAGTACCATTGTTTTTTGGAAAGGGTGTGTGTCCATTGACTACCGTATGGTAGTCATCATCCTTGTGTCATCTCAGACTAAAACTATCTTTGCTGGCCATAACTCCTGTATGCGTTGTCTCCCCCGTTAAAATGTAAGTTCCTTGAGGACAGGAAGCCAAATTTTTTTGTATTTATATCTCTAATGCAGAGCATCTAATAAGCAATCATTAAGTGTCTACCTGCCAGACACTGTGCTGGGAGCTAAAGGTACAATACAAAGAGTTGGACAATTCTCAATCTGTATATTGTTGTTTAGTCATTTTGGTTGTTTTGTCTGACTCTTCATGACCCCATTTGGGGTTTTCTTGGCAAAGATACTTGCCATTTTCTTCTCTAGCTCATTTTACAGATGAGGAAACTGAGGCAAACATGGTTAAGTGACTTGCCCAGAGTCACACAGCTAGTAAGTGTCTGAGGTCAGATTTGAACTCAAGTCTTCCTGACCACAGGTCTGGCATTCTATCCACTGTACCACTTAGCTACCCAAGGTTACACTTAATAATTGCTTTTTCATTCAGTCATCCATCCATCCATCTATCTATCCAATCATTAAATTATTCTTCCTTGCCTTCTTTATATCTCCTAGACATCTGAGCTAACGTCTGTTCTCCTTATTGTTGTTGTTATTGTTCTTTTTCACCAGGAATAAATCAAGGAAGCTCAGAGTAATCTAGTCCATACTGAATATCCTCCATCTGTAAAATAAAGTTATTGTAATAGATGACCCCTAAACTCCATTCCAGCTCTAAATCTATGGTCCTATACTCCTGTTACAACATATCATGAAAGGTGTCATCTAGTGTATGTTTAAAGATTCCTACTTAGAAAAAAACTTACTCTCTCCCAAAGCATCCCATTCCTCTTCTGGACATCACTTATAGTTAGGTCATTTTTCCTTCCCTCAAAATAAATCTGCCTCTTTGTTACTTCTGGCTCCTTTTTCTGCCATCAGACACCAAGTAAGACAAACCTTAAGGACTCTTTTTAGTGCTCTGCCCTCTGCAATCTAAAACATGCATAAGATAGGAATTGTGGTATGGTAGAAAGTATATTTGACTTGAAATTAAAAGACTTGAGTTCAAAATCCCAATTTGGGTGACTTTAGTTAATTAAATTCTCTGGACCTCAGTTTCCTCATCTGTAAAATTAGGAAGCTGAATTTGATGATTCCCAAAGTTCCTTCTAATTCTAAAGCTATGATCATTTGGCAGCAAACCATCCCCTTATTCCCTGACTGGACCTAAAGTTCCAAATTTCTGCAGTTGTTTCATGGAATCTAAAGATGTACAGTTGCATCCTGGCTCAATTTCTTGCTCATTGTGTGACTATGAACAAGTCATTTAACCTTTATGAGACCCAGTTTTTGTTCTCTAAAAAGGACATAATTATACTTGCATGGTTTTACCTTATCAAATCATCATATGGATAAAACAAGATAATGTATTTGAAGTGTTTAAAGACTATAATCCAATTTAACTAAAATTTTGAAATATTTTTTAAAGACCTCTTAAGTGCATAGCACTTTACTAGGCTCTGAGAGGAGGCAAATAATGGGAAACAAAACACACACAAGTGACGGTGGTATGAAATGATATTATATCAGTACATAAGAGACTTGCAAAGAAGGTATCCCATGAAGTTCGAGGGTTGGTCTCATTATTGAGTAGGAAGCTCAGGGAAGGCTGCCTGAAGAAGATGGCATCTGAGTTGGACTTTAAAGGATGGGCGGTTGGAATTCATTGGCCTTCTAGTCTAGTGCAGTCTCTCAAAATATGCCCGCTACAACACACTGAATAAATAGTCATTCAATTCTACTTTAAATCCTCTGAAAAAAGATCACTCACTATGATCTAGTCTATTTTTAGATATCTCTAATTGGTAGAAAGTTGTTGTGGCTTTTTTCTTCCACTTTTTCCAACTGATTCTTTGCTCTAGGGCCAAGCAAAACAAGTCTGATCTCCCTTCCAAAGGACAACCCTTTGAATACTTGAAAAGAGCTATCATGTTCATTCTAAATTTTCTTTTCTGTAGTATAAACATCCTCAATTCCTTCAATCATTCCTTATATGGAATGGACTCAAGGCCTTCACCATGTCGGTTCCCTTCCTCCAGGCATTCACCAGTTTATCAGTCCCCTTTCTAAGTTGTAGTGCCAGAACTGAACAAAATACTCTGACCAGAGCAGTGTACAATGGTACTATAACTACCTGATTCCTAAAAGCTTTGTCTTTACGCTGCCTAGGAATTCATTAGTATTGGAGCAGATTGGAAAGGGGAGAAGTATGTTGCTGTATCATTATTGACTCATGTTGAATATATAGTCTACTCAAACCCCCAGATCTTGTTCAGATAAACCACTCTCTAACATAGTAGCCGTCTTGTCCTTGGAAAGTTGATTTTTGAGCCCAAAATTAAGAATTTACATTTATCTTTATTGAATTGAATCTAATTATTTTCAACCTAATTTCCTAGCCTGTCAATATCTTTGGATTCATAGTCCAGTTTGGGTGTGAGTGTTGACAACCTGGAATGCAGTAGTATAAGATAAATCAATGAAGGTAAGATGGTATCTGAATAAGGAGAGTCTTGAACAACAGACTAAAGATTTTCATCTTTAGCCAATGACAATAGGGAATTTTAAAGAATTTTGCGAAGAAGAGTGATATTCATAAGGAAGGCAAGTTTGTATCTTAGACTTTAAAGCTCCAAAGCACCCTAGAGAACATCTAATTTGACCCACTCTTTTTACATAAAAGAAAATTAAAGCCTAGAGAAATAAAGCAACTTACTGATAGTCACACAGAGATGGACTATAAACCCAGGTCCTTTGACTCCAAATTCAAGTGTGCATGATGGATTGGAAAGAGGAGAAATTATATGGAGTTTATTTTGTTCAGTTGTTTCAGTCATGTCCAACTCTTCATGACCCCGTTTGAGGTTTTCTTGGCAGAGATACTAGGGTGGTTTGCCATTTCCTTCTCCAGCTCATTTTATAGATGAGGAACTAAGGCAAACAGAGTTAAGTGACTTGCCCAGGGTCACATAGCTAGTAAGTGTCTGAGACCAGACTTGAACTAAAGTCTCCTTGACTCCCAAACTGGAGTTCTATTCATTGCATCACCTACCTAACCTCTATAGAATTTATAAAACCTAAATAAATAAATAATAAAATAACAGTAGTAGCAGCAGCATCAATAATAATAATAATGACTTAGCTGTATGTAGCACTTTAACCTGTGTAGAGGCAGTGTGGCTTACTGACCAGAGCTCTGAATTTGGAGTCAAAAGTCCCAGTTCAAATCCTGGTACTATTCTTTATTACTTGTGTGACTTTAGTCAAGTTACTCAGCTTCTCACTCTCACCTGGCCTCTGTTTCTCATCTGTAAAATGAGAGGGTTGGATTGAATAACTTCTATATTTCCTTCCAGTTTCCATGAATGTAAGCTTCACTTGGTCAGGGACTTTGTCTTATCTAAACTTTGCATTATCTCTAGCATATAGTGCAGTATTATTTTAGGAGGTTATTACAATA